GGGTTTCAGTAAAATTTAAAGATGATATCTTCTCCCACAGGATGGGAGTTTTGAAGAATATTTGACAACTTAAGGCTTTTTGTCATTAAAATAGGCAAACATTTCCCCAAACAGGAACTGGAATTCTCCATCACAGAAGCTGGCCACACTGATACTAAGTTGCAACCCTTGCCAAAGTGGGAGTTGGCAATTAGTAACCATGTGGGGTGCCCAAATCATTGCTGTGCCCTTTTTAGTTATTTGTGTATTTATTTTTATTACTGAAATGCATACTGAAACAGGGAAAGTGGCAAAGTAAAAGCAGAGTACAGAAATGTTTGAAGGCAACATTATGAGAGGTGACTGCACAATTTACATTCTAACCGAAATGACTCATAGAGATTACACTAAATCTGAAATATACTCATGTAAACACAAAAACTGTTAAATGTTTATATAAGAATAGGCTCAAGAAGGATTTAGGTGACATACAGCCAGATGTGAATCACTTGGAAAAGGCATAAGAAGAAATGTTTGTTTAAAGCCATTTTGTATTTGACCCAAGAGGTCACTTATAAAGTAAAAGTTATGGATATCAGTAATCAGTAATCTAACATGGGACCTCGAGCTCAGTAGTTTTATTAACAAGTAATATTAGCAACAAAAATAATTAAAGATTTTTGTCTCTATTATTAACATTTTATATATACAGAACTCAGCTTTTTTTTGCGAATGACTGAATTCACCATGTAAATGTAAGACTGTGTTAACCAGCCTCATATTCCTCGTCTGTGTGCACATTACAGGCCAGTAAAGCTGATTCTGAACCAAAGCTGACAAATAAAACAAATAGATATAAATTCCCAAGAAACATCAAAGATGAAAACACTGAACATCAGATTGATTATCTTGTTTTTTCCTTTGGGTTAAGGGTACATTCATCATGCAGGATGCGTTTTTAAGTGCTCTTTCGTCGTCATCTATCTCATTCCCTCCCATTTGCAGAGGGTGGCGAGAAGCCATGTGGGCTCATTTGCAAGCATCAGTATGGAGTGATTTGGGTGCAGCCTCACTGCAGCTCTGACTTCCTTCAAAGAGGGATTTTTTTCTCTTTTTTTTTTTTTTTCGTGCAGCACAACACCAGTGGTGCCAACAGTTCCATCAGCACCACAAGATACACTGAGACACATTTGGGCAGCTCACCCTGCAACCATGGTAACAGAAGAATTTTACTAGTTGGCAGCAGCCAATAGTGGGGCACTTCCCACTCGTCTCAGTCCAATAACAGAACAGCCTGCAGCCCAGCCCACCTAGAACTGACACTCATGGGCCAGTGCAAGGAGGACTCAGAGATGGAGGCTTGGCTAACGAACAAGCAGGAGAGTAAAAGTGTGAAGGTATGTGTGTGTGAGACTGAGTCAGTCCGCACTAAAGCCCGATGGAGAGGATTCCCTCTCAGTTAACCGCAACTCACGTTAGGATTCAGTCTCTATGTATCTATGTAACATTCGGCACCAACAGTGCTGCAAGCCCACCGTCGTCTTACCCCTTCACTAGTTCTCACACACGCCACACACACTCACAAACACAACCAAACCCCAGCATGGGACCAAACAGTTGGTTGGGTGGTCAGAAGATCAATGCAATTTTAACCTGAAAAAAAAAAGAAAAGATATACCACCATCAGCTGTCAATAAAGTCATTTATTATTTCACACAATGGATAACATGAACAACTTCAACTGCAGTTCTTCTTAATAAGTGCTCAATGCTGCCTGCCAACATAAGGGTAGCAAAAGAATGAGCCTTTCTTCTTGATGAAAGAAAAAAAAAATAACCCTACAAGATCATGAAAAGTAAACATGACCAAAAGCATGCCAGCAGACATGGATATGCATATATATATATATTTCATGTATATATGTGCTAATGACATATATCTGTATGTAGGCTATTGCAAACACAAAATATATGTGTACATTTACACATATATACTCTGGAGAATATATGCATATGCATGCGCAACTAGTATTTCTCTATATGTCAAATATTTGCAGTTTTTAATATTCATACAATGTACAAAAATGCCTCATGAATTAAAAAATTCATTACAAAAAGAAACATATCAAACAATGTACAAGTCTTGCTTCAAATTCAATTGAAATTCAACTTTCGGCTTGTCTAAAATATGTATGCATACAATCAAATTGAGCATGCAAATAAAGGAAACCCACTCTAGAAAAAGTTCAAATACACTATGTATACAAACTAAAATATGCCCACACTGTTAGAAGAGCTCATTTTGTGCTCTACAGAAGTACCTTTATTGGTTTTCTCAATGCTTCAGCTTTGAAGAACGTTATAGCTTAGAATGGCAACAAATGCTGTGATGGAGACGTGTACGCATATGAGGCTCTGCTGTACATGACCCCTCATTCCATCTGCAGACCCTCATCACTGCACGCTGCAGAAGGAATGGGAGGCTGATTAAAACCTAAGTGCCGGGATCTCTTATTCTAGATGCTGTTGTGAATCTCGAGTAATCGCACAGTAAATGCACTCACTAAAGATCCAACACGGCAGCGCTGCCCTCAGTGCTAGAGCCCAAAACGAGGTCAAGGATCACTCCATCAGTGTTATGTGGAACCCACAGGTCCAAACTGGCTGTTTACATATGCATCACAACAGTGACCTTTGAACCCACACGCAACCATGTCCACTCTGCAGCTTCTCCTTGTATAGTGAAAGCTCTGGATTAGGACAATACCTGTCAGTTTTAGAAGGCACCGGAGCGTTGGCTGGTGGGAGAGACGGGACAGACCTGGGGCCTTTAACTCTAACAACAGAGAATGCATCCTGACAACAGCATGGAGGAGGAAGCAGCCCGCATGCCAAGATCTCATCTTCTCAACAACTGACTACAAGCAATCTAGCAAAGGAAGGTTAAGCACAAAGAACGTTAGGACAAGAGTATTTTTGGCTATTTCCTCTGAGAACTCTCCAAATACACAACCCCTTTGCTCACTCTTCACACTGCCCCAATTGGCTGCAGGCAAAGTAGCTATAAGTCAACCAGAATTCCTATTTTTGGTCGGCTACACTACAAAGGGGCTCTAAGAATTTTTTAGAGCATGGTAAGGCAGATTATTTTAGCATTCTTTGCAATCCAATGGGCTAAAAATATATTGTCAAAATACTGTGGAATTTAATAAATATGAAAATAGAATTCAGAAAAGGATGACAAAGTATGAACATTATGAAAAATAGATGATTCCTTCATTTACTCTGACTTTCAACTTCCGGGAGAATGTGTAAAACCTGACAAATTTCATTTTTTGTCCCATCACTTTAATTCAATTTGTTATGATAAAACTAATTTTACATTTGCAGCCTGTAGCAGATTCCAAAAAAAGAGTTTGGGGCAGGGTCATTTTCCAAAGAAACATCTTTGTCTTGTCCTCATTTCCCCGTCTACAGTGTGGAATATCTTGAAATGGTCCGAATTAGAAGAAGTTACATTACAGTAATGCAAAGGGTGCAAAACTAGACTGGACACCCGTTACCGTCGATGGCATTGGATCAGCAAACCTTTATTCATCAACAGCAGATGTTACAAAGTATGAATTAATGGGGGGGAGTCTTTGTCGAGAATAATACAGGGTTACATTATCAGATACCACTGAAAATGTTACTATGTAACAAAACAAGGTTTTACTAATCTTTTCCAGAGGTGGCAGCAACTCCTGTGGGTTTGGAGGCATCTCAGATTGAACCACCACGGTGGAAAAGTGCAATGGTAACAATGAAAGACAAAAAAAGACAATAAACACTCTTATCACAAGCCTAAAAGTCAGCTTCTGTGATGGGGCTCATTTACAGTGTGTGACGGCAGCATTAATGCAGAAAAGTCACACCACTCTGCCCTGCTGCTCACCTTTAAGATGTGTTTGCAGGACGGTTTCATCGGCCGATATCCTCAACGGCAGAACTGAATTTGTCTCTTAAGTTGTTGTGAGAAGGAACAGCAGCTCTACAAGATGATTCAAAACTTTGTTGTTCTGGAAATTTTTTTGTTTTGATGGTTTGATCTCAAGGTGGATAAATGTTAAATAAAATTGAGCAGATGACGCAAAATATAAAATAATTTGGGCTCATAGTGTCTGCAATTAACTAAAGTTGAAGGCAAATGGGAGTGGGGTCTTTTTCCCCATACTTCCTCTTTTTTCTTATTTAGGGTTGTTCATGATTTTTGTAGCTTCTTTATGATTTCTAGGGTCTTGAGCAGTCTTGTTGGGGACAGATGGCCTGCTGAGGTTTTAGGGAAATAGCCCAAGCATAGCTGAGCCCGAGCGGTATCTAAGCAGGATGGACATGATGATATTTACAAGGAGCACATCAATACTGTAGTTTTACATCTGTTTAAGGCTGTACTGCATAGAGTGGCAGTAACTATAGTTTTCATGAAATGATAGTCACTTTCTGCACAACTTATTAAAAATTATTACTGGTATTATTCACAATTCTTGTTACATGAATTTATTTCATTTAGTAAATAAGACCACTTATTTCTCTTTGTTGAAGGGTCGACCCGGAACAGAAAATTCCTTCCAAGGTCATTGCCAGGTGTGGCCTGATGCATAGCAAACAAGAGCAGATGAGAATGTGGTTTCCATGACAGACACTTCTGTTCCACCTTTACTCAGCACATAAGCAGTTATATAACAGAGACAACTTGTTCATTACAAGGGAGATTGGATGATCGTCAATTATACACTTCAGACTGAGAGTGTCAAAATCTCGGGAAAAGGTACGGCTGACATCGGTTTCTTTTTTTTGTTGCCACCGCTGCTACACAGCGGTATCTAGGTCAGTAAATGACGTGTATTTAATCCACTAAAGCCAGCCCCTCTAGCTCTGTCGTGGCGATATGGGTCAGAAAATCAAGTGGAAGCTGGGAGACGGACAGACTGGGCGTCCGATGACAGAGGATGCTGACGATGAGAGCTGTGTCACGGTCCTGATGACTAAAACACACACACCCACACACGCGCGCACGCGTCTCATGCACGGCCGCGAACATTTTGGGTCACTGTGCTGGGCCATTTTTAGATTTTTCAGATCAAATGTAATTGGTGAGAGAAAGAAACATAAGGCACAAGTTTAACTGCTGCAAACGAGAATGTCACCCCACCCGAAGAAAAACAGCCTCCTGAAACAAGAGGCTGCTCAATAAACACTGCCCCCTTGCTCAACCTCTGAAATACATATCACAGAAAATTCCGACCACTTCCCAAAGTCACAGATACTGCAGATAGAGTTGAACAAATGCTTGACATATTGACACAAAAATACAAAATGGCTACATTCTACAGTGCACATTGGAATGCTTTACATTGTTGCCAACATGGTGGAGAGTTTGTCAATCTCTGATTTAGATACTTTTAAATAATACATCCATACACTGAATACTGAGACTTTGGCTTCTAAAACTAAATACTGGATTTACTTTGCAAAAATATTTGCAGGGACATGAATAGAAAATTGTGTTGAGTAGAATGACTGGGATTAGCTTTTCAAAACACTGAATGTGAGCCCTCTTCTGCTGGACTGTCCAATCACGATTCAGACTCAGGCTTGGGTTTCACGCTTTTGGCTGCGCAGCCTGCATATACGAATTGATTAAAATAATGCATGCTCTCTGGAATGTTTACCAAACCAGGAAATGCCAAAACATAAGGCTAAAACAAGCATGTAAGTGCTGTATTTGATTGATGCTAGTGAATTATTTTTTATTTTTCATAGTGCATTAAACCAACTCTAAGGTTCACCAAAAACACACCTGACATTCCTCCCGTATCCAATGCCCCCCTGGATATAAAGACAATAATGAGTGTATGAATGAATATGTGTTTTTTTTCTGTCTGAAAACAAACTTGTCTTGAGTCGCACCCATGTCTGTTTTTGGTTATAAAACAATACACACTTTCATTGTCTATGGTACAACAATTCTATTTAATATACTGTATGCCAGTACACATCTATGAGCTGGTTTCCCATTGTACAAGGCAGGCAACAGTGGACTTTATTTCTATGTACAGTCTGGAATAATCTCATCCACCATATTGCCTTTACGTCCCTGCCCAGTAGACGCCTGAGCAGGGAGGGAGAAATACATGACACAGGGGGCAAATTGAGGAAGCTCAAGAAATGGGAGATTGAAAACATCAGTCGGTGTAAATGAAAACAGAACAAAGGGAAATGGAGTCGAGCAGCAGACACGAGGTAGGGCTAAAAAAGTGGGGAAAGTGTCAAGCAAGGAGGAGAAGCTGCCAGGAAGTGTAATTTACTTCTAAGGGAGAGCGAGAAATGGAGGAAAGTAATGAAGGACGGAGAATACAAAAACACATAAAGAGTAAGGTGGCTTAAATACTGATGTATTATCCCACATATCTTTGACAGGCTTCCTCAGAAAGGCAAAAATAAGCACAGCTGCACAGTTTAATATTAACCACAACCCCTCCCCTTGCTGGTAAATATATGGCTAAAGCCACATTCAGTTATGGTATCATATAGTACCAAACACATCACTGTATCAGATACATAAAGAATCACATAAAATCCTACTCTATCATAAGTACCACACACTTTTATAGCATCAGATTCAGTATCAAATAGTACCATATAGTGCCATTGTAAATGAAGGTCCAATGAATCTTTAAAAGGCCCATGTCTGGTTGGGTTTAGCAAATTGAGGGAGACGTTCTCTCCTCCAGCTGCACCACCAACCCATTGAGTTCCTCACAACAAATGAGAAAAGAGAAACAAGTCAAAGTGCACCAAAGAGTCCCAAAATGAAGGGCACTGCATTTGATAGGCTAAAAACAGCTCTGACTCTGATATCTGCTCAGTTCTGAGGTTTTCTTCTCCTTCAGCTCTACTGACTGCTAGGAGCCCATAATTCGTCCCTGCTGTGGCCCCTGCCTCTGCGTTTCCCCCCTTTAGCTGGCAGAGGGACGGACCTGGCTTGATGCACCACGGTCTCAATAGCTGCTGAGATGGAGTCGTGATTGGTGAACTCTGGAGGCTCGGGGGTCGAGCTGGGCCTGTTGCTCTGCCGACCCGGCAGGTTATCGCACCTCTCCAGGACAGGCATCCCCAGAGTCCTCCCATCACCTCTCCTCCCGGTCAGTAAGTCCAAACCCCGACCGTCTGCCCAGTCTTCCTCCCTTATGTTGGCCGGCTCCGATTCCTCTAAGGGCTGCTTTCGGGGCCGCCCAGGCCGTCTTTTGATGACATTATTTCCTGTTTTGGCTTGTCGCTGCAGGCGCTTGGCACGGAGGATCTTCTGCACGTGGTCGAAGTTCAGAGAATGCATCCTTCTAACGTCCTTCTGGATCTGTTCCACCTCGCGACGCTTATATCTTCGCTTGCTGGGAACACCTGGTAAAGGAGCAGAGAGTAAGAGAGGTGAGATACTTAAAGAGCAAATCATTGCCTATAAAGAAAAAGAACTCTGTGTAAGCAGAGAGAGTGGGAACGACTTCGTGCAATTGAGCTCATGGAGAGAATGCCATTCTATTCTTTAAGAGCTTCCTGCTAATTTTGAGATATTCATGTAAGCTTTTCAAAGCCCAGCTGAGGCAGGAGAGCAGATCCTCTCCTGTAATTGTCTACTAAAGAGCAGAGAGGAGAAGAGGAGATCCTATTCTGCTTGCAGGAAACCCACAAAAATGTCTCCAACCATTTAATATGTCGCCACACAATAACAACCCACTGCATCTGGAGCACAGGCTGCCAAAAAGCCACCACACACACACATACATGCCAATAGAAACTAACATCCCCGATCTCACCCATGGACTGACACACAAACACACACACGCGCACATGCCCGACATGTAGAAATTATTAATTCAGCAGTTCGGAATGGCTGAGCAGAAGAAACTGGAGCCATATTGTTTCCTTCACACTGATGAACTGGGCAGTATGCCCTTTACATGCTGTTCAAATCTTTCTCTTTCCCTCTTTCACCATCATTCTCATTCTCTTTTCCTCTTGGCTCTTCATGGGTGTCAATATGCTACCCTCTCATTTTCAATTAAACCTGATCATGCTGCATCATTTCATTTCCGCCTTTATTTCAGAAACTGCTTCCTGATCTTAGACCGGCTCAGTCACTCTTTTTGTTTCCCATCTCTGTCCCATTTGTTAGACCCCCTCCACCTCCCCCGTCTGGGCACATTTCCCAGGGCTCAGAGTTAGCAACAGCCAAAATGGAGGAAAAGCACAATCAGCCGCTGGTCCCCAAGCAGTGCACATACAGCATGCCGGGTGTCTTCTCTGTGCGGTTTGACTCCTATTCCGGGATTCTGTACCCATCTAATTCCAATGAATTCAAGGTGGAAGGCTTTATTTGAATTAGCTTCACTTTTTCCTTTCTATTTATATGGTTGTGTGTTTTTGCGTGAGTTTTAGATTGTCATCATTGTGGACCACATTCTCTCCAAACGTATATAGACTGGAAGTGATCTATTCAGTCTTTATTTTGGTATTCCCACAGGCATATATGGAGCCACCTGTAAATATGCCAACACCTTTTGCACAGATGCTCTCGAGTCAATGCATTCTGACCTCTCCACATCACTGTCCTCATGCCACTGCATGATGAATCCAAAATGAGGCTGAATGTTTGACTGCTGCTGCAAACGGTAATCGTGCAGTTCTTTGGTTATCAAAAAAATCCACATCCTTTTATCTTTTTAACACATTTATTAGATGCTGAAATGGTCCCTTCCTTTCAGAGTTGTAACAAAAAATACCAATAACCTATTTTTCAGGACAATAAATGGACTACACGGTCCATGTCGTCGTTGGCCAGAGGTGGAAACGTTTTTGGTGTTTATAAATTATAAATAATTGTATAATCATCAACATGTATGTTCAGTAAGAATTAAGTAAACTGAATGTGGAGGTGGAGTGTGAAATATTGATTAATTAACTATTCATCTAATTGATAACTGGGAGATCATTCAGAAAGTATTTTGAGTTATAAGTGCTCACAGATGGTGTATGCTCTGAAACTCAAAACACATCACTATTGTTGCCAAAGAGTTCAGAACAGGCAGTGAAATTAGTTAATGCAGAAAGCACTAAGTAGCAGGAGTTTATGAGCTGCACAGAAGTGAGCACACACACGTACACACACTACAAAGTAGCAGAAATTTATGAGCTCCATACACGGAACATAAAACCAGTGACCTTCAGCAGTGTGAGGGGCCATATAGCACTGAGGACCTGTTTCTCTGAGGAATAGGAAGTCACATATTTACTGAGATTCACTTATACAAGGCCTGCGTCATGTGTGAGACCAGGTTTCTGACAGGATAAAGTCATCCTTGAAGTATTAATTAGGTAAATCTCTATGCATGTTTCAGCAGCTCACATGACTGTTTTATGTGGCGGTCGCTCAATCCAGATGTTTTCAATCCTGATAGTTATCAACCAAAATAATGTCTGCTCCTCCTGTCCCTTTGTCTCATATGCAGCTTTACCTGGTTTCTGGTTTATTTCTTTTATTACAAAACATGCTATACATGTGTCTTTGTCACTCTTTAGCTTTTTTTATTTTCAAGGATTTTTTTTAAGGTAGATTTGCACTGATCAAATTTTATGTCCCAAGGAAGGGGTCTAGATCTCAAAACTCCTGAAGGGTAGTTTAATATTTCTGATTTTGATCCATATGAATAATGTAATACAATATATTGTGCGTCTGTATTGAAGTATCTATGTGACAAATCTGGAGTGAGGTGGTTCTGATTAATGAAAAATGAACACATAAAACGCACATTTGCTTGTATAAATAACAGAAATGTTGCTAATTCTCACATTCAAAGCTGCACGTTCTAAAATATTTGAACTTTGCATTTGTTTCAGGCTCTATCTATCCATGGGAGTTTATGTCTGCATGTGTGAGTGTGTGCAGCGAGCGTTTGTGTGCGCACGCCTGCGTTTTAATTGGACTTAAGCTGTGAAGTGAAGCAGTAAGTCATGCTAGAGCAGGGGCAGAAGGATTGGGGAACAGAGAAGGTGATCGGGGAGCGAGGGGGTGGGGCGGCAAGGGGAGAAGGCAGAAAGGGAAAACGGGAAGACGCAGGCAGGGGAATGAGGGAAATCTGCGTATGGACCAGAGGACTGTGGGAGAGAAGTTAGAGAGGAAAGCCATGCCAAGATCTGCAGAGGCAGCAAAATGGGTAAATATGCGAGGTAGAAGAGGCACTATCAGGATAGTGTGGATGAGGTGGGGGTGGGGGTGGTTTGTGTATATGAGTCATCCGTCCTGGATCCCCTGGGGTGGAGGGGGTGTATTCTAACCGAGCCCCTGGCTTCTCCTCCCCACCACTGGACTAGGCCCCAGTCATTAAACCCCTGGCTGCCAGCCAGCTCTTTTAACACAGGCATGGGCCTTTTACGGCGTGTCTGTAGAAAATAAATCACACTGTGTGAATAATATATCTCTGGCAAAGGCATTGGCAGGAGAGAAGGAAGGGAGGGAGTGTGGGGAGAAAGGAGAGATTGGTGAATTATAGTCGTCTCCATCCATGCATTACGTTCTCTTTATCCCTAGCCAGATGTGCTCAAAGAGAGCAGAATACAGAATGTACTGAATTACACATTACTCTGCTAGTGAGAATGTGGACTTAACCTGCCTCTTTGTCTGCTCCAAGTCTGGATAATGGCATTCATGGCACATTTATAAAGAGATATTTCCATAACACATACTATATAACTACATGTAAAGCCAGAAATCCATATCGACCCTCATAAAATGCTATACAGCAACTGGATAAACTAAGTTCATTAATGTGCATAAACACTGCACATTCTAATCTATTACCAATGTTTCTGCAAACATTCTCCCATCTGGATTTATTAACTTGCCGACAGCTTTGAAAGGTAAAGAGAGAGCAGACAACTCCCTCCTCCAGTAGATTATCCAAACAACCAACAGAAGCAGCTAGTGTACAAGCTCATCAGAGAACGACAAAAAACAGCATCAAATTCAGAATCTTCTCACTTGTTTCTTACTACTGAGGAAGTCTTATGTTTGAAAGATGAAAAATCTCCATGGATTAAAAAGGCAGGTCCACCTATTTAAATGTTTAGAAACATATAAAGCTGGTTTGTAACAACATGTGCATGTCCGTGTTTTCTCTTTTACTTGCTTTTTTTTACTGTGCTGTTCTGTACATCAGCGAGTCAGCACTGAATGCACATGAAGCCACCGCCTGAGTGAACTGTGTAAATGTGTGGGCAACCAGGTGACTATAGAAAAGCCCCTTTTAAAAATATTTCACTTTTAAAAATAGTCTGTGATTGAGGGATTTATCACTTTAGTTTTTTACACACCACTCCTTCCGCTGTACATATAGAGTGACGCAACATAAAAGCACTTCCTGCCTACGTTTTACATCAGAAGCTTTCCACGGTTGAACCCTGAACTATAACCTTCAGTGAACTGGTTCCAGACATCATGGGAAACAGAATATGGACAATCCCTGCATTAATGGCTTTAGAATCATAATAGAGAAGCAGGGCATTGCCTTTGACATAGACGGTAGGATTAAAAAATTAATCCTATGGGCTTCTTACCAGTGAGGGATGGACTGGAGCACTTGTTCATGGGCTCTGGCTCCTGCCTGGCCGCTTGGAATGACATTAAGCCCTGATCTCCAAAGACGGCCAGCCTTGTCCTCCTGTTCCTCCCTACACACTCATCCTCTCGTGAACCCGAAAACAGGTCAGAAGCTGACTCTGACCGCTGCGATTGGCTGCTGTAGCTGCTCATGAAGCTCTTTACTGGCTGCACAGTCTGACGGGAGTGAAACTGACTGTCAGCATGAGAGTGTATGGACAGCTGGTCTGACTCAAAAATCCCCAGGCTGGATCCCAGGTTTGAGTCTCTACTATTGCCCCTCTGCTTTTCCAGATGCTTTGAAGAACCCTGACTGGCCAAGTCCCTCCTCTCACTCAGCATGCTGAGGCGCACGTTGCTCTTAGCTCCACTGAAAAGTCCACCCAGCTCCTGGCGGTCGCGTGGTGAGAGGAGTGGTTCGTCCTTGTGCTTGTGTTTATGCTTGTGCTTCCTCTTGTGGAGGCGGACGCCGGCGAGACCACCTGCACCGGCGCTGTTCAGGGATCCCAGACCCTCTCCTCTTACAGGGGGACCCTGTAGCGAACCATTGGTGCCACGAATCTTGGATCCAACCTGCAGTTTTGAGTGTCCACTGGAGTGAAAAGCCTTAGGAGGTGGGACAGCAGGCCTCATGAAAGGAGATGGAGGTGCTGGTCCAAGTGAGTGATGAGGCAGGTAAAATGGGGGAGCGGGGGGAAAGTAGCCCAGACTTAGAGGAGGTGCGTAAGGCATCGCATACGGTGCTGCATAGTAATTTCCCCCTCCCAGCGGATAACCATATCCTTGAACAAAAGGCAGTTTTGATGTGATTGGCTCGCTGGCTTTGGCTGGTCGACCGCGTCTCCTCTTGGCCTTCAGATCAGCAGTCCGGCGCAGGTATGAGCTGGAGTCACAGGGGTAGGAGTCATAGCTAACCGGGTAGTAATGATGAAAGTTGAGGCGGAAAATGGAAGGATAAGGATGCTGGGGGTAGCAGGTGTATCGTCTGTGAGACACTCGCAGTTGCTGGAGCTTTAATACGACCTAAAGTGAAGACGAAGCGAAGAAAACGTTTTTAAAACACAGCTAAAAAGAAGTGCATGCACATTCAAACGCTTATTCAAAAGTTAAAGACATGATTTGTTATATCATATCCCACCTCCTCCAGTTCAGACAGAAAGTGAAGATGATCACGGCTCTGTAGGCACTTCCTCTTCCTGCGATGGTGCTTTTGCTTCTTCTCCTGCTGCGACAGAAAGTTATCAATGGCGGTGGCTTGCCGTTCACAGCGAGCTCTGCCGCCCCTGTTGGATGCGTCCACAGCTGCAGCTTCCACAGACTCAAACCCACACAGATCAAACGAGTACCTGCACGAGCACAGCATAAAATCAGATTTAAATGCCCATACTTTTGAAGAAATCTGTCGATCCATCAACAACTGATGCATAAAACAGCAATGTACCGCACCTGCGACGAGAGGCATGGCCCTTTTCGGTTTGATCTGAGGTGCTGTTGTTGTCGGTCCCGATTCCACTGTCACTGGGAATAGTCTCCTCACTGTGAGACTCACTGATAGGGGACAGGGTCACCTCCTTTACCGATGCCCCCTCTGACAGGTGGGAGGGGGAATTAGCCAGCAGGCGAGGAGGCGAAAGTTTCCAACCCCCTGAGAGGAAGCTCCTGCCGGGTGGTTTGGAGGGCAGGGCTGAGATGGGCTGCAAACTTGGCATGGAGGTATCCAAGTGGCTGGCTCTTAGTGACGGAGCACTAGAACTGGGAGATGAAGCGGTGGAAGGCACTGCAGTGTTCTCATAGAGACCGGAAACAGACATCGGTGGCTTGTCCCGAGTGGTTTTTGGAGGGACGGAGCCTTGGGTCTCTGCCCTGGGCTTTCTCCCCCTCTTCTTCCCGATGTAGATGGTTCCTCTCTTGCTGACGTTTATCTGTTTTCCCAATCGGGCCTCAATGGTGGACGCCATGGCGCTCATAGCTGTGGCAACGGGGACGGAGGTTGACTTGAGAGCCAGGGCGCCACTCTGATTCGAACCTGAAAGGATCTCATTCAGAATGCTCTGCATTTTTCCCAGCTTCATCTTATTCACCGGCCTGGAATAGCCCCGGCCGCGCTTGAGTTTCAGACTGTTGGGACCACCACTGGCCGTTGTTGAAGCCATTTGCACTAATGTGTTTAGTGGATGCGTCTTTCTTCTGCGGTTGAGCCCTGCCGTGGTTTCCCGGGCCAGAGGACTCAGGGGTGAAGTGGACGTGCCCTCATGAATGGTCTCAACTGTCAGGAGTGGCTGTTTCTTGGGCCGCCCTCGTTTTCTCTTAATGGGAGTGTGGACAGTTAGGCTGTCGGTGTTAGTGTAGAGTGGACTAGAGGGGGTGATTGGGAAAGCACAGGGTGGATCTGCTAAGGTTGAAGGACTACCCAGGTTGTCTCTCTTGGGTGAAGTGAGACTGGCATGGCTTTTAGCTTTCAGGTAGGACCATCTGTCATTGGCCTTGCTTGGTCTTGAACTGCCTGCAGAGCTGGTGCTATGACTAGGACTGGGACTAAGATCCATTCTGGATCTGGGGCTTGGACTAGGGCTCATGCTGGCCCTGAATTTAGGACTCGGGGCAGGACTGATGCTTCCTCTCGAGCTGAGGCTGGGGTTGGGGCTAGAAAGCCTGGGGTTTGCATTGAGACTGGGTTTGCTGATGTGATTATAAATAGGCTCTCTGAGTTTAGAGGTATCCGTGCTGTTTTTAGGACGACCCACAGGGTTCTTCTTCACTCTGTTTGCAGTCAGATCTGGCTCCTGGTCAGTCACAGCTGTCTCCCCTCTCTCTACCCTGTCCATCCTATCTCCTTTTTCTCTCTTGTCACCTTTGTCCGCTCTGTCTGTCTTTTCTATCCTGTCTCCCATCCCATCAATCTGACTTGTAAGACGCAAATCGTTTTTGTGAGTCTCTATCTTATGTGCTACTTTGAGTTCTGGGGGCCCACTCTGGGGTTTCTCTGAAGTATTCACAGCCTGTTGCTGTGATTGTTCCTCCACCGAAAATGACTCGTCATAGGAAGGCCTCCTGCGTCTTTTTCTTCCTTTCCCTTCCTCTGTCAGCATGGGCACCCCTCTCTCCTCTTCATCTCCTCTTCTCCCAGCAATTGTTTGCTCTTTTTCATCTTTTCTCCTTTCCTCTCTGTCTTCATGGAACCACTCAGCCGTCGTCTCTTGCCGGTACTTCTGCCTCTCCTCTGAATTACTCGGGCTGTCCGACCCTCCCTCTGGCTGCCTTCCCCAGTGCGTATCAGCACTGTGGGGATTAAAGAGCATCCTCTGAGAGTCCTTCCTCCCGTACTTCCTTTTGATGTTACCAAAGAGCTGTTCACTGACCTCTTGCAAACCCTTCCCTCTGGAGAGATGAAGAGAGAGACGTTACCATGACAAGTAAAAAAGATGGAGAAATTAAGTTTAATTTCACGAATACAACGCATTTAGCAACTTCATCAAAGATTACCTCAAAGTACACTAACATACAGCATCAACAGAGAATAATCATACCTGCTCAGGGAGGTAAGGTTAAGAATACTGGCATCCGTAACCACTGGCAGCTGCAAGTCTGGAGTCAGGGATCTTTGAGGTGAGGGACTTTGCGTTGCTGTTCGGGAGAACGGTAGTGTTGTACTGAGCAGAGCGCCTCTACTGACTCCTGCCAGATCTCTGGCTGGATCAGAGTCTGCAGGTTGGGCTGGGGATGAAGAGGTCTCTGTAGACACAATCCAGTCCGGGCTAATTTGGGGTTGATGTCCATGAGTGTGTTGCAATTTCGGCATGAGGGTGTTCTGTGTTTGCTGTGTGTGGGAGAGTGTGTGTGGGGGAAGGAGGGAGCTGCGAAGCTGGTGTTTGGGCAGAGTGTGATCTCCCAGTAGTTGTAGAAGGCCTCCTTCCCTCTGCTCTGGCATTCTAAACTGGCGCTCGTATGTCTGGGGAAAGAAGAAGAGAGAATCACAGATTGGTTACTGCATCGAGACTGCAATCATGTGACAGCTTTATATAGCTGCAGGGACAGACAAATGTTATGATAATGACAGTGTGATCAGAAAATTATAACTACTCGGTTTCCTGTTTTCATAGAATCAGAAAGTCTTCACAAAGATAATATATATGTAGCAAAATAGCCAGTTTAGCACGCATTTTCATTCAGTCCACACATATTAAATCAGTGAATTGTTGCACTCCGATGTGACACTCATCTCCTTTCAGAGCAGAACTGAAAACTTTAATACATCCTTTGTGTTTGAGCAAACAAAAGCGCAACTAAACAAAAGGCTTGTTTACAGAGCAATTAAATTCCTGTGGTAAGGATCGGGGGGTAGTTCTGAATACGAACAGTGAAAAGCACAGTAGCTTAACTCAGCCAAGTGCCTGCCTTATTTCCACCAAATATTGCCACGTTGGGTTTTTATTTTGTGGACAGACAACCTCACACGTATAAAAGCCCAAAAATGTCACCTCATCTTTTCTAAAAGATCCAGTGTACAGCTCTCTGAATTTGACTATATTTGCAAGGGAATTATTTTCCCAAATTGGACAAGCTGAAATGATTAATATATATAACTTCTGCATAATCAGTGTACTATTGGAGGATGAGAAATAGAGCAGCGGATGGCCTTTGTGGTTTAGCCTGTTATTAACAGACTCAGTATGATGCAACGAGACGCTGTTCTGCTACGCTGCAGGGAGATGTAACCTAACCACAGGCCTGCCTCTCAGCATGTACACACGGGCGTGCAAGTACACACTGACTAACTCCCACTTGTATACAGTGGATGAGCACTTCTCAAGGAATCACAAAACTCTAGTTTTGCACATAGCAGAACACAGTGCCAGCACATGAGCAGTTATGCTACACATGCACACAAGAAACTAAATATATATATAATGTGGTCTTTGGACAGTGCACACATTCGGATGCCTCCCATCGTTTATTTGAAAGGCCTCTTATACCAGAGGCTACTCTGCTTTCTCTGCCGTCTCGACGCCTGTCAGCTCTGAAGTAGCAACAGTTGTTTCCACAGTCGCTGCAGAAGCTGTCTGTTGACGAGACCCCCGCAAAATCACAAGCGCAAGTCTCACACCGACTGAAAACACACAGTGCACGTCTACAATGTGAACTATGAGCAGCGTAAATGATTAACAAAGCCAGCCAATGCATTCACTGTAAATGCATGTGTGCACTCTGTTATGTTGCAAACACAGTGATATCGTGTCCTCAGCAGCAAAGTGTGTGTACCAGTGAAGAGCGGACGAGTCCATGGAGGGATAAGATTACAGACATCCGATACACACTTGCTTTCTCATTTAACCTGTCCTAGAGTACCTGCTGTTTCAGGTTAAGGAAGGACGGGTAGAGAGGTAGGTTTGGGGTTTTTAACGTGAGACAAAAGCACGCACACAACTATGTAAAATGCATCCTCTCCATCAACCACAAAGCAACCACACAGCGATAATAAAAAGGAACCGTGGGCACCTTTGCCACTAGAAACACAGCAGTGAGAGGGAAAAAAAGAGAGAAAATTACAAAATAGGACTCACTCCCCACCTCCCCCTTTCCGGTTGAGACTGGGTTACGTTGGCACCGGTTCAGCTTTTTGTTTTTAGTTTCCAACCCTCTCCCGCATCCCCCCCTCTCCACGTATCACTTCTCGAGGTATTTCCAGGGAAAATGCGCTCACTGTCTGATGTTCACATGAGCAAACATAAACAGTGGTCAGTCTGAGCTACTCTTGTCTGTAGTTTAGTCAACACGAAAGGAACTCAGCATTGCCCCGGCCCTTTCCTAAGTGGGTCAGCCCTGGCTGCTCATACAGTTTTGTCAAGTTGTCATTTGATAACCGCTCAGCATGTAGATTTCCATGTATTGCATGATCTGCATTACATAACTATGATGGGAGGCTTTGTAGCATAGCTCTGGTGTGCATAACTACACCGGACTTGCATTGAAAACATTGTTGCACAAGCGGCTCCGATACATCTCAGGTGTTGGCGCTCTTGCCGTGCGCTGTGCAAACAGGCCGTCGTGGTCATGTGTTACAGCAGGTTTGCAGCAGGGGGCAGCGGACAGAGGATCGGCACCAGCATGGACTCTGCCCTTTGTAAAGCTCACAAGTACCAGACCTGTAAGGCTAAACCTCTCTCAAACAACCCCTTCGTCTAAAAGTCCAGGCATCCGAAAAACTATAAAGATAAAGATCACTAACACATGTCATGCACTCTCTTTACCATGAGGCTCTAGGAGTGGTGCTGATTACTAGCTCAACAGCTAGATCAACATCTATGCCTCTCGGTTAGTGGCACTGTAGCAAGTTGAATTCAGCAAGGGGAAAAAACCCCAACAAATGGATGTATGCTTGCATATATGGCGCTAAACATTCCATACCAGTGGTGATGTAACCATCAGATAAGATCAGAGCACAGCAGCAAAAGGAGGTCATGGATAATATGTGACTAAGTGCTACAATCACCAAACTGAGAGGCACTTTGCAAATGAGTCAGCATATACTTACTGACGAATGTGTGTGAATGTGTTTGAATGCATCACACTCAGCAGGCCGATTCAAACAGATTTCTGGATGTAAAATATTGCGCTCTTCTTTTTCGATGAGTTGAGCTTCTCGCTCCCAAACGCACATGAAGACCGAGTACCCCGGCTGCACCATTATACAAGGAAAGAACAACTAACCAGGCACACCCAAATCTCACAACTCACACATACACACATGTATCCGGGCAAGCGTATACACACACAAACTCCATGCCCAGACGCACACAAACACGTTGCCCTTCAAATAGTTTTTCGCAGCCTTTTATTTGGCTGCACGCCCAGTGGTTAGAGTGTTTCATTTTTCCCTGTGTATGGAACTGGGCAGCTGTCCAGAGAGACACACAAAGAGAAAGAGACGGGGAGCAGGGAGGGAGAGAGGGAGAGGGGAAAAGGGGGGGGGGGGGGGGTTGTAAAAGAATGAGAACTGCAGAGAGGGAGGGAAGAAGAGGAACAGACTAAAACAAGAAGAGAAGTGCCTAGACTCGTTTACTGCTTGTTCCTTCTGAAACCTTATGATTGATATGATCCTGTCTTTTTCCCTTGCTCTCACCTTGTCACACACACGCACACACACTCTCCCTTGGTTTTGACACCATGCGGTCCACCCTGTTCTCCTGTGGTCTACTGCATTGCCCCCACCTCCCCTCATCTCCTCATCCTTTTCTTCTTCTTTTCTCTTTTCTGGAACTGACCATTCTCCTCCTGTGGGAACCACCACCCTCAACCCCCCCAAAACCTCCACTCCCCCTCATGCCTGCTTCTCTCCAGCTCCATTCAGAGCATTGCTTCCCTGTGATCTGTGTTTCTGACAGCTCTGCGAATAGACACACACACACACACACACACACACACACACACACACACACACACACACACACACACATTCACACACACAGCTCCTCTGCAAACAAACACCATGAATACTAACAGGGCTTTGTATCCACAGCACTTAAACGGGGTAGGAAGAGGCGGGTGGGGGTGAGGATGTGGGGGCCTAAGAGAAAAGCGATGGAGGAGAAAAGAGGAGCCGTGGCACTGTGTTGATCTTGCGGCCACTCTCACAGATCCCCCTCCTCCACTCCCCCCCCCCTTTCACCTCCTCATCCCTATTTCTCGTTCTCTCGTTCTTCCCACCAGTTCTCCCGGGAATAAAGACTTCCATTCATACGCCTGAGGAGACCCACAGCGGGAGAGAGAAAAGAGGGAGGAGAGAAGGGTGGAAAGAGGAGGGGATTTCAAGGTGGGACAGTTTGTGTATGACTGGGATCAGACCCAACACCTAAAATTGTATCTATGTCTGAACAGTTTGTCTGTTTTTACTCAGCATGTACACTCAAAGCCTCCTGTCTATCTCAAGTCTTGTGGCATCCATGCCAAACAAAGCAGCTTTCTGGGAAAGTCGGGTGGGAAACTTTGAAAAAAATGTGCTCTGCTCAGAACTTCTCCTCTTGCTCTACTTCTGCGATACACTGCGTGGTGTGCCCACAGCCACTGGAGCAGGAGTGAAAGAGATCGATTATTTGAGCCACAAACCTATTTTATGCAACACGTCTATGTCATACTGCTGCTGTGTGCTCTTTTTGCCGGGTGTGAGTGTGCAAACCACCTCAGATAACTTTAAAGTACAAGCCCGATTCAAAGCGCAGTGGTAGGTCAAAAGTAACATACCCCCTCAACACATCCACAGCAGTGATCCTTTAGAGTGGAGAGCCCCTAAAGATAGCAGTGAAACACCAAAGAGTGTCCTTGTCACCCTCTCTTCAGACACGCTCACAAGTAGATGACTCAATTGAACAAAAGGCCCTGATTGGCTGAAACGAGGGATGTTATTAAAATGCAATTGGAGATTTTCACCCGCTCCATAATGGCAGACAGATTTACATACCGCACAAAGTATACATCTAATCCCCAGTATTAGCTCTAATGGTGTGCACAGGCATATGTAGGTCCCGCCTCTGAATGGCTCTAAAAGCCATGTTAAGAGTTGTTTCGTTATTACAGTCATTATCTACCAGTTGTTCCTTTTATAGATGAAACTCCCAATGATAGTGTTACAAATGTCAAGCCTGCATACACTAAGTTTACGTGTACACAGATTGGCAACGCACACACAAAATAAACTTTAATACTGGCATCGATGCTTCATCAGGAGTCAAAAGTACTGCTTCATTGTTTCATCTATTGAAGTCAATACACCAATGCAAACACGAGCAAAGTGAAAAGTACCAAAACCAGTGCAACATGCTTATGTACTCTGTGCACCATATGACCCAATCGTACCACTTCTGTGCAACAGGAAACAATTAACAGCGATTGAGCAGCTCTAAGGGATGACTTCCTGTGTGGAATGATGGGTAATTCAAGACAGAAGCTGAGCTT